TCAAATTTTTAACTCTAATGAGAAAAAATATTTTAGTTGTAAATTTGATTCTCACAAAATATATATTAGCTGTGAGGAAATGACTTAATCCAGGCACCGGAATTTAAATCAACATTAAATAATCTACAAGTCTGTAATTTTCTCATCAGACCCTTTGCCACATGCCGCCCACTTTCAGAACTAAAATTAATTAATTATGTCTCAAAGCAATGAAAACGTTAGTCATACAAAATACAAATTGCTTGTGTATATTTCAATATCAAACATTACAAACTTACATACCCGTGCTTGTGTTCCGTCAAGCATTACATACACATCCTCTGCGAATGATTAAACTGAACGAAACTGTAACACACAAATTAAAACCCGTCTAATTGTAGACGGCGATATATCGAGACGGCGGGCGTATACTCTGGTGATATTTTAGGAACTCACTAATGTCTTTCCCCTTATTATTTTCCTTGCTTCCCGTTCTGATTTCAGTTAATTTTTCCAATTACCAGCTCTTAATGCAGTCATTACTAACAGTTGTTGACCATTAAACCGGAAAATTCGTCGGTGAAGACGATAAAGGATTAACAAAATTAAGAAATTAGACTGCAACGAACAAAACTTCCTGTTCGGAACCTAATGCCGACGGTGATTAACATTTCAAACTTTGGAATGGCAAAACGGAAGGAAAAATTAATTTCACGGATCGACCCCAGAGAGACGCAGATTATGAAAACTGCATCCACTAGCAAGTACTGAAACTTCTCATGTTCACTATTCGTAAAATTGAGAAAAATTGCGATTTTTCGCCTTCTCGCGAAAAGGAAAAAATCGTTTACGTAGACTTATTCTTATTAACGAAAATTTTAACTTTTTTAATGCATTTTCAGGTCTAACTTTGTACTTTATACATAAACGTGAAATGAGATTTTTTGTTTGATTGAATGATTGGAAACTCTGTACCCATGTCGCAACTCATTCATTAGTTTGATGGTGTCTCCATCCTGTCCTCCCACTATTGTTTTCCTACGGCGGCATTATTATTATTCAAACATCCCGGAATCAACAAAAAAGGAAATAGACAAATGAACAGCACATCAATATGAATGCCATGTTCGTTTTTCCAACCATACATCTGTCTGCATAACCAACAAAGTATCACCTACCTATAAAATCCAAATGGACTACATTACCGAGGGTGTACTTACTTCACACCATCCGCTTTACGAGCTATGCAAATGGTACTTTGACATCGATTTTCGGAGATATTGTGATATTATCTGCACTGTTTCAATATACCATTGTAGATATATAACGCTTGTCGCCATTTGCGATATACGAGACAGTTATTTACTGCGACGCTATTTGAATTTTACTGGAATTTAATACCAGATATTCCTGCATTGGTCGCTGACAAGCGCTTGCCAACTGGATGCAATTGCAACCGCAACTCAAACAATTTCCTACACTCGAAAATTCCAATTAAATAAATCCAGACTGAGGACAATCCGTGGCGAAAGTTTCAAAGAGATTTTGTGGATGATGACGATTAAAATTCCACCCTTGCAGGCGAACTGATTCAATATTAAGTTTGATAAATTCACGCCGTTGTATTCTGATAAAGCTGCAATGTATAGGTATTGTTTCGGGTGGAAACAAAAGGTCTTTTCACACGAATTGCTAAGTTGTGTAGAGTCGTAGTAAAATGCGTCCTGGAGGACGTTATAATCCATCACTATAAAACGAAATTGTGACATTGATCAAGTTTTCGAGGTGTTTCAACACTTAATGCTCATGTACTAATTTTATGTGAGTGTTTCTCGGATTATCAAAGCAAATACAGTTCCGCATTTAAATGTTGCATATTCACGGGGATTCAACGAGACGCATTTCATGCCGTTATAAATTCTTGAAATTGGACGAATACGATGTTATGGAATAATAAAACTCACTAACAAAACATTTTTAAATTCTAATATAAAACATAATGACGATAGTTTAGTACCCTTTATTCGTTTCATAAAAATTTATTATTCACATTGCTCATAAAGAAAACTACAAAGAGACACTTCACTCCTCATTACCCTATTTCTACACAAAGTAACTACGGGTAGCATCTAAATTACGTCACGCAAAAGCTGACCTTATTAATAACCATTAAGTCGACATTTTATTAAATATTAACATCGTTCTCTCGAGAGGCTCCTATCATTAAGTCAAATGTAATTCGTTATTAATCGATCAAGTGAAAAAATTATCAATCAATTTTATCCAAGTTATTTTATTTGTGACACACCCGATAGTATGTATAATCTTTCACCACAAACAAAAATCCGCTTTTATTGCGAAACCTATTACAAGTGAACATTCCACAAATTATCGCTACCAAGAATAATATGTAAATAATTTTTGCACGTACACAATTAATAAAGATAAAGGAAGTCATTTATTAATGAATGACTCCTTAAAGTTACAATCGAAAAAACAATATTGAAACGAGCAGAAGTAATTAGAAACCCATTGATGAAGTACACTCATTAAAATGTCATTTCGTCCTACTTTCTACACGAAAAACGGTACCACACATATTTAGAAAAAAATACCCCGATTTTATCCAACGCACATTATTTAAATTCGAAAATTATGTTTCCCGGTGGGTGGAAAAACTTGAGTATATTATTTGTAAATTAGCAGACATGTGTGACCTTTAAGTCTATACACATATGTTCCATGTGCTATTAATTTTGCCGAGTACAATAAAAATAATTGGCTTAACAATATAGAAAATCAAAAGGTAATTATTGGAGAATTATTACGTAATTTATTGTGAGATTACAGCCCATATTTACAAGTCGACTTAACCTTGCTCACAGACAATCAATTGCTGTAATTCAGTTTTTAATAAATCAAAAAAATTAACTTTTATTAATATCTTAAAGCATGTCACCTCCGGTGACCACATAAATCAGCCAATTAACTATGATTTCTCTCAAAAAAATTATGTATGTATAAATTATGTAACTTCACTGATTAAAAAAATGAAGAGCATTCAAGCAAAACTAAATTCGAACTCACATAATTATAATTTACGTCAATGCAGCTGTAATCAAAAGTGCAGTAGTAAAAAAAATATATTTCTTAAAAAAACAGGATAATTTATAGTTAAAAACAAGTTAAAGTAAAATTCAGTATATGAAAAATAATGTCAAATATTTCCCCAATTTCCCAAAAAACAACTAAAGTTTTTTGTTGCAGTTTAGACCAACTAAAAAATTCAAATTTCCACTTTTTACCAAATTTTAAATTTATTAACTCAAAAGCAACAGTTCTTTGATTTAAAAAATATTAATAAAATAATGGGAAAAACGGTTATAAACTGAAATGAAATTTCAACAGTGAAAAGACAAAACTTTATAAAAAAAATACCCTTATCGAATCATATAATTATAGGTGTACTAAATTACTATAAAATTACTAACTTTTTTTTTCAAAAACTGTTCAAATAGAAGTTAAAATTATCCTACTTTTGTACAATTTTTTTTTAAATACTAGGTATTTTCTATACTTTTCGGTGACAGCCCGTTCTCAGGAAGTGATTGCACACACTTCAGATTAGTCGATGTTTTTCATTCGAGGTCCTTGAAAATCGATGTTCGCAACGTGAAATTAGTGTCAAATGTGTAAGTTTAACCATTATGAGAAATTTCAAAGTCGTTAAATGGCAAGTAGAGCAATTAGCCTCAATAATTGAAGAAAAACTTTTCGAATAAGTTAAAAGGCTTTTAACTACAATAAAAATGAAATCGACGTAACTTTTCCATTACTATTCATTCACATGAATGCAAAAGACTGCAGAAGATTTCTTTAAACTTGTGACTGCATTAAGTTTAATTATCCCCCCGTTAGACTGCGAATCCCTGCACAGGAAATTAAGCTATTTAATAAGATTGCATTTAAATTGCTACTTTCCTATAAAGACAAATCATATGTAAATGAAGGTTTGTTGTCCACAGATGACCGACTTCATCTCTGCCATATGAAATACGTGAGTGGCAAAAGAAAAAATATGGATAGTTTAGATTCGGGGAAAGAAAAAAGGCGTACGTATAAGGAGTCTACTGTCGTAAAGACAAATGATTGCCAAATAAAAGAAAATAAAACCAGTGAACTAGAAACGAATGGAATTAGAGATAAAGGAAAAAAGATCCGGGGAAACAAAAGGAATAAGATGTGTGAGCAAATAAATCGAGCCATTATTTAGGGAAATAGATACGTTTGCAAACGACATCCCATTTCTGTTGTAAGATAACTTTTTCCCTGTATCAAATAAATTACGTTTAAGTCAGCTGTTGAGAATTCCGACAGGCGGATGTGACCTTTATTGTTTATCCACGAACGAGTGCACAAAGGCGGCTGTGACCACCAAGGACAATACCGGCATATTCATTACTGATCATTTTCACTCAGCCTTAATTAAATTTAAATAAAATCCCACACTTGCAAATGTAGGTCAGATATAACCTACAACGATTCTGCGGTTACTCAGTCGCACTGGACGTGAAAATCAATCAAAGACCGGGCAAAAATACAAAACAATCCTACATTAAAAAAACATTTTTACAGCTGACTTTATAAACAATCTTAAAATTTAATTAAGGAACTTACCGATAATGAGCTTTTTTATATAGAAATTAAACTTTAAAGTTGCAAATATCATAGAAAACAGTCAACACAACACAAATATGTAACACAAACACTTTTTCACATTGTTATCAGTTTAAAATTTTAGATTTTCTTGGAAAACTTTACACCACCCTACACACTGACTTCCATGCTGATTTTCAAACTAAAACACGCGCATGCGCCAACATCAGCTGCGATGGATATGGAACTTTTTCCATACTTACCACAAACCATAAATCGCAAAAAACATAACCGGTATTGCCACTTGAGCCGGCAAGACCTAATTCGCATAATTCACCCAACAAAAAATCCGTAATTTAAATAAGTTTTTATTTTGGCCAATTGCACTGCCATACAAAACAATCAAAAAAGGTGTTAAGAACAAAAGTTAACAAATCGTTAGAGAACTAAACGTAAGAAAGCTTACATCTAATACAGCAATAGTAAAAAAGTAACTTAAATGTTCAAAAGTGAAAGAAAAAACGAACAAACGTTAAAAAAGTGTGAGCAATGTCTTCCTTACACTCTATTTTAATTACGATTTTTAAAGTATATATGAAAAAAGTTTATAAATTACTTAAAGCTCTATTGCAGAAAAAAACTGGTCTGTGTATAACACTATTTCGTTACAGTATTTCCTCTCCTCACGATAAAAAAATAAAGGTTAGGAACACAATTTCTTAATACAAATCATTCCTTTCAAATTATCAGTCTTGGAGAATAATCACTTGGAAGAAAAACCTAACTTAAATATTATCTAGATCCATATTATTCAAATCAGCCTCCATAGCCATCTTATTTTGATCAGGAGCCTCTTCTTCGTTATTATTTTCACTCTCTACGTTTTCTAAGGGAATCAAACGACGTGGGGGTGTCCATAATACCAAAGCTGTACAAGGTCGTTGAATTTTAGACAACAGAGATTGGGGAAGAATAGAATCACTTTGCAATTTCCTCATTTCTTCACACATATACAAACGCCGTGTTCTATCTCCATCTGATTCCTTTGACGACGTCGCTGTTTCCGAACTTATGTGCAAACGAGACATATGTTCTGCCATTTTCTCTTCTGTGATATGTTGCTTGCATGGCTGTAACCTAAACCAATTTGTGAAAAATGTGTTAAGTTTAATTTTGATGAATACTTACGGTGGAGACTCAGTTTTCCTCTTGCAACGCACTGTGGAAAACGAATGGTGTACCGACACATTATTTTCTATGGGAGTGCTAGGGGGAAAAGGAAACTGTGCTGGATGTGGGGCTTGTGAGGAACAAAACGAGAAATGTCCTATACTTGAGGGTACTTGTTGATAAATTAAAGATGGGTTAAATTGTCCCTGGGGAATCACTGAGGCTGCTGAAGGCCCGAATGGTATTCGACTCCAGTCTATGGGTTGCACGTTTAGAGACGGGTATGGTTCGAAACCGAAAACTGATGGGTGGTTTTCTTGGTTAGGGTCTCCTGTCATATTATTCATACATGCAACCACTACCTTATACACTATATTCGGAAAAAATGCACTAGATTAAAAATACGTAAAAACACTTTGAATAATTGTTTATTTTTTGTTTCAAGCGATCACAATGCTCCAATCTGAGTCGACGCAACTGATGCAACTATTGGATCAGCTGTTTGACATTTGGCCTCATGCGGTCGGTTACAGAAATTTCTAGAATTTTCAAGAAATTGGTTTGAGACTTAAATAAATTAATTGTTATATTTAACAAAAAATATTTTTGAGTTATTTTGCGTCAACAATAGTAAACGAGGGAATGTTAAATTGCCATAAAATAATATTCTTATACAAAAGTAATTAAATAATTTCAAGAAAACTAGGAACTTTGGCCGCAGGTTGGCACCACAATCTATACAAGTTCGGTTGCATCACTGCTTCTTTCTCATTTGTGCGTGCACGTTGACAAGAACTTGTCAAAAATGTCGTAAGTAAAATTTTAATTTTTTGAAATAATCCTGATATAATTTACCCCAACTTTACTTGAATAATGATTATCTAACACACTTTATTCATAATTCGTTCATATTTTTAATTTTTTGCTAGGTCGAAGGTGTCTCGTGATACTTTGTATGAATGCGTGAATGGCGTTCTGGAGCACTCAAAGCAGAAGAAAAGGAATTTCCTCGAAACGGTGGAGCTTCAAATCGGACTGAAAAATTATGATCCCCAAAAAGACAAACGTTTCAGTGGCACCGTCAAGTATGTACACCTGAATGAACTGTTTATAGGTTAACTCATTTTGTAAACGGTTCATATATCAGGGAGCTGGAGTTATCTCTGGCGGACCTGTACCCAGGGTCTTAAAATAACTGGGTAGATATTTGTCTTTTTTGGACATTATCGCTATAGTTTAGATTGAATTTGTGGTGAGTCACAATCACTTGCAAGGAGATCATTTTTGGAACTTCGTGTCCTGACTAGTACTTACTGTGTTTTTTTTTGCCCCTAGATTGAAGCACATCCCGCGCCCCAAAATGCAGGTGTGCATGTTGGGAGATCAACAGCATTGTGATGAAGCTAAAGCTAATAATGTTCCATACATGGATGTCGAAGCCTTAAAGAAGCTCAACAAGAATAAGAAGCTCGTGAAAAAGCTGGCCAAAAAATACGACGCATTTTTGGCATCGGAAGCTCTCATTAAGCAAATCCCACGTTTGTTAGGTCCAGGTCTTAACAAAGCTGGTAAATTCCCTGGATTGCTCTCACATCAAGAATCAATGGTCCAGAAAATCGACGAAGTCAAAGCCACTATCAAATTCCAAATGAAAAAGGTAAGAAACTTGAAAATGTTGCATCATTAAGCCAACAAATTAACATTTCTTATTGTCATTTTGTATGGAATAATGGTGCTAAATAATGTGCAATTATAACTACCACTTTTACGCATGTAATTGTGGCTTTAATGTTGCAAACATTTGTTTAATAAGGATTTTTGTGTGAATGGTGATGCTAAAAATAACAATTTCAGGTCTTGTGTTTGTCTGTAGCGGTTGGTCATGTTGACATGACCTCTGACGAACTCGTCCAAAACGTTCATCTCGCCATCAATTTCTTGGTGTCTTTGTTGAAGAAACATTGGCAAAATGTTAGGTCTCTACACGTCAAATCGTCCATGGGACCACCTCAAAGATTGTATTAATTTTTGTGACATACCTGAATTGGTGAAAAATAAAAAAAAAGTAAAGAATCAAATTGTTTTATTTCTTTCCAAATAGTTTGAAATTTCCATGTTGAAAATACGATTGAAAGGTGCAGAAGTATAAATGGTTGCATAATGTAAGTTTTTATGCACAGATTTAACAATTAAAATTGTTTATTTAAAAATAGCCGCAAAGAATGACTAACGTGAAATCACTTAACGTAAGGTTAATTATTGCAATACAATAATCTAAATGGAAAAGTAAAAACAAATAATAAATCTTAATTTACGACATAAAAATAGTTTTAGTGCCTATTTTGTTTTGCGCCGTTTATGGCTGCATAGAATTAATATTATGTAATGTAGCTGTTGCTACCACGGTTGATGCAACAGATGTTTTCCTAAGTTGAAGTTGAAAAATGTTTATAAAATTTTTCCCTCCGGCGAGTTTCCCTGGTCCATTATGATAAAAGCCGATATCTCGAAAACCCGGGGGAAATAACGAAAACAGAGATTATGTATAATTTTCTATAAATAGCGCGCATATATCTCTAAGGGAGCTTATCGTCCCACAGTGCCTTAAACAGCCGTAGTCTTTAATTCCGCCAGTACACGTTTTCCAAATACCGCTTAATTAACGTCATGTACTTAATAAAAAATTCGCTCATCCCAATTCAAAGATAATAGTCAATATCGACATTTTATCATTTTCAGTAAGCCAGCAAATTGTGTGTGCTTAGTGCCTATCATCCAATTGTTCTTCAAACGTAATCTCGCTATCTCAAAAAGTTATAAATTTCGAGTACCTATACACGTAACAAATCCAGAGTGTAGCAAAATAAAATGTTAACTCTATAAAATTTATTCATTACTCATACGTGTGGTGCTGAACGGTCGTGTTGATAAAGGCATCCTGTTTAACACTGCGAATATATATTTAAGCTGATGTGACAGAAAACTTAATAAAAAAAAAATGAATGTGGTGTGGGTGTTACTGCTTGTGGTGCCGAGTATTTACGGAAAATTGACAAAAATCGAGAAGCAAAACGGTCACAACCATGAAACAAACGAAATTCAAAATAATTTGTCCGAAAATGATATTTTTGTGAAACAAGAACTAACTTCGTGGCCTGGAAACGGAGAAATAGCTTCAACAACTGAAGCACCCTCATCCAACGAAGTTTCTTCAACCCAAACTGAAATGTCTTCAGCTACTTCACCAATATTATTTACAGAAACGGCTTGTGCTAACAGTAAGTCATTTGTTGGATAATAAGGAATTTTGCATTCCAAGGAAATTTTTCGGTGTCTATATAATACAGATAAAATTAAGAACCAATCAATAAGTAATGCGATAACAATGGGTCCAAATGATTTTATCAGCATTCAACTTTAGACAAACAAAAACAATTTCCCTAAGCTACTATTTTTGCGTACAATAAGCAAAATATTTGCTCCTGAAGTAGATATGTAATTTTAAAGTAAATATAGCACTAATCCTTTCGCAACATCTTTGTTAAGAAACCCAAAGTTGTTTTATATGTTATCTAAGATTACGAGCTTCTCTTTACTCAGTAGGAATAAAAAGATTAAAACTGGTTATTGTATGTCAAAATATCCCTTTTTCTAAAAACTATCATCAGCTATTTAACTAAATCTGGCAGTATTTCAAAAACTAATAGCTTGTTGATAAATATTCTTCCCAAAAAATCGAATTTTCAATTCACTTTAGAACTTAAAAAATTATACATATTTTATTACTTTTGGTTGATCTGTTGAGTCCCAAAATAATTTACTGTTTTGGTATAAATAAAGGGAGTCGTAAGATAATGAGTGTTAAAAGGAAAACGGAAACAGAACATTTTGATAACAATAAATACATTAAATCATTACGTAAACACATTTACCAAATACATTTTTTTTAGTTGAAATGTTCTAAACCAATAATAATCATTTCCTTAGTTTGTAATTACTTTCTACTTACTAGTAACACCAAAATCACCTTATAAAATAGATTTTAGAATCAATATTGCTTTTTCAGTTCCTATGGTTAACATTTTAAACGTTAACTCAACTACTTCTGAAATAACATTTCAATGGGAACCCCCGGAAAGAACAGATTGTTTCGACAAATATATTATTTACCTCGATAACGAAGTTCACAACGAAACCACTGAAACCGAGTATACATTCAGAAATTTAAAACCTTGTACTGAATATACTGTCGGTATTGCAACTTTTATAAACAACACTTCGGGAAATAAAACAGAACAAACAGTGACAACAAAAACAGAGAGTAAGTTTCCCCAAAATGTGCAACGAAATGTGGAAAAATTTAAATTTCTAGTTCCTAAGGTGAATTTTACAATAAATGCAACAAGTTTTGAAGTATTTTTGGAATGGGAACCCCCGGAAAATACCCAATGTGTTGACAAATACGTAATTTACCTCGACAATAATTTTTACGAAACCACCGAAAATAACTACACTTTCGAACATTTAACAGCTTGCAATGAATACAAAGTCGCAGTTGCGGCCTCTCATGATGATACACTGGGACAACTTACAAACGACAGTTTTAACACAATTGCCCCTAATCGTAAGTGAAGTACAAATAAAAACAAATTAAAACTTATTCCCTTTTATGAAGCGTTTGGTTACGAAGTTGGGGACTTGAAAGTTGAACAAGTCTCTGAAAATGTTTTAAATCTAACATGGCAAGCACCTGAAGACAAAGTCGTTCAATGTGTAACCGCCTATTATATAGTATGGTGGCCCCAAGGCAGCACGGCTAAAACACAAGAGAAGAAAACCAACGAAACGTATTTAGAGTTATCTCCGGTTGTGGGATGTATGAAATATGAAATAAATGTAAAACCCTTAATTGGAGAAAATCAACAAGGGAATGTCAAAGCGGCCGAATTCCAGGCTCAAGCCTACCGTAGGTGTTTTTTCAACAAATAAAACACATCTTAGAATTGCTTTTTAGCAAATAATCCTCCGACTATTGTCATCGGTTCATTATCCAGCAGTAAAACACAAATACACATTACGTGGGAAACTGACAACAAATCGACAAATATGTGTAATGTGACTGCACTAGTGGTAACTTGCATTGCACCGGAAGACTCAAACGAAAACAGTTCTTGGATAATCCGGGATGCGCAAAGTGTGAAAGAAGTCACCGAACAAAGGCCTAATAACCGATATTCAATGACAATCGATGATTTGTCACCTTTTACGAATTATTCCTGTTCGGGAGTTGTCACAAACACAGGTGGAAATTCCTCTGAAACCCCATTTGAAGCTACTACAGATGAAGACGGTATTTTATTTTGTTTTCTAATATGTTTCGATTACTGAAATAATTACAGTTCCCTCGGCTCCCCAGTCACTCACAATACAAGATGTAAAGTCTCGACAATTTACAGTCGAATGGAGGCAACCGGAAAAAATCCCCGGAATCATGACTTTGTATGGATTAAAAATTATTAATCTGGGACCTCTTTATACGATTGTTAATAAAGAATGTGCATTTAATATCACTGATTATTTCTTTGACCTCGGCGTGGGAAACACTAGTCTTGTTTTTGAAGAAGCGTTGCCTTATTTTAAATATAATATTTCGGTCTATGGGGTTGATGGAGCCGGAAATGGGACGGAAACAAGTGCAAACGCCGCTACAATTGCCACAGGTAAGTGTAAAAATTGACAAGCGGCACCCGAGTTGTATACGAATTTTTTACCATGTTAAAAGAAATCTGATAATTTTTGTTTGAAACAAACACGGATTTTCAAAAATTTTAAGTTTTAAAAATGGCATTCGCAATGAAAATAAATATTAATACAGAATTTCGAGCTTCAAACACAGATTTTAAATCCAATTCCTACTTTGGCAAAATGGAATTTCTAAATTTTGAATTTCAATAATAGTAACTAAACTTTCGAATCTATATCTAACTTAAAACTTTTGGAGAAAGCAGATTTGGATTCCAAATTTCTGATTAAAATCGGTAGTAAACTCGGAATTTAGTGGTTCAAAGTCTCAATCGCTATTTTTGAAAATACAATTACAAGATTCCAAAATGAGATTGGAAGTCGGACAAAGTAAAATATAAATTTCGGATTTGTGAATCAAAATTTTCAATTGACACCGGAATTTTGAGTGTTAATACAAAAAGTCAGAAAATTGGAAACTATTTTGTTTATAATAATTTCTATGAAGTTGTACTAATTAAAATAAAAAATACAGGGTGTGACAGAACTTGCGCCCCAGAGAAAAATTTCGAGTAAAATACCAGGAACATGGAAAAAATGTTTAAAAAATTCTATCTGTCGAAAATGTTTGACATTTGACATTTTTTATGTCTATTTAATGATACTGATGATGTTGTATGTTTTTTTTTATAATTATTTAGTAAAGGTACAAAAATTTTACCAATAAAAACCACAAATAACATTAAGCAGACTTACAATTTAGGATACAGCTTCTTTGTTTTTCCTCTTTTAATCGCCTGTAGCAAAAAAACTTGGAAAATTATTTTTCCAACAGAAATAAATAGAATCAAAGTGCAAAATTTAAACTCTCATAACTTCGAAATTTTTATAAATATTTTTTTTTAACATTTTTTTACTTGTTCGTGGTATCTTACCTTACCTTACCTCTGGGGCGCAGCCCTGTATGTATTAAGCTCAAAAACAGAGAGTTTTCTTAGTTTACTCAGTTCCAACAAATACCAATTTTTAGAGCCGGATCAAGTTGAAAACGCGGAGACTTTAGCTCCGGAATATTCTCAAAATGAAACTTATTCCGGCTCTGTGATTGTCAAATTCGAACCTCCATGCAACACAAATGGACCTTTCAAACATTACGAAATAAACTACATTGGAAAAAGAAATGGTTTCAACCCTGAAGAAAAGACAATTGAAACTAATGAAACAAACGTAACAATTCCACTAAAACCTGAACGCGAATATTCAGTTGTAATTAAAGTTGTGACTGAAAATTTTACTTCAGGACCGGTTTCAGTTCCGGCGTTTCATTCGCAAGCTGGTGGTATGTTGTTAAATAAAAAATAATAATTGCGTAAAAATAATTTTTTGCAGTACCAGTGATTAATGAAAATGTGGATTTGAAAGCACCGAGTCCTGAACAAGAAAAGGCATATTTCGCGTTTAAAAAAGAAAATTTTAATAACATAAACGGCGAGATTTTTGCATACACTTTGATACTTTTGACGGAAGCACAAGAAGGGGGTTACGGATTTTGGGATGGGACAAACGATACGTGGCCTGAAGTACCAAAAAATGGCATTCAGTTAACCCCAAACTTCTGGAACCCTTTCAGCGGTAATTTTCAATAATTTTTATATTTGAAAAAAAATCGCACGATTTCAGACGGTGTAAACTCAACAAATTTTACAATCGGCGACGGAAGTTGTGAAGATTATTATTGTAACAAAATCCTAAATGACGATACAAAATACTGGTTGATTCTGAGAGGCCTAACAAGAGCGGGTTATAAGGACAGTTCATTATTACCTTTTAAAACAGGTAATGTAAACTGTGTTATCACATTATCTTATCTCATATGCAGGAAAATTGAATTTTTTACAATGCCAGTTCAATTTCAGATGTGATGGAAGAATTGGATTTGGCCCTCATTCTTGGCTTAACATTCGGTATTTTGCTTTTACTAATCTTAATAATTTTCTTGGTAATTCTGTGGAGACGAAATCGGAGAAGGTAAGCACATGATCCTTGATAAATTAGCGTTAAAATAAATTTCAGTTCGATACCAAAAGAAGAACAACGAATTTCGACAACAACCCCTGAACCCCTCTCCTGTCAAAAATACGTGGCTTTTTACACACATCTCAAAGAAAATCCCCACATCCTCAAGCAACAATTCACCGAATTGGGTTTACAAAGTAAAGAAGTGGCGGCACAAATTTCTTACGCTGTTCTCGCCGAAAACAGGCGTAAAAATAGATACACAAATATTCTGCCTTGTATGTCGTAAAAACGCACATGAAACGGTTATTCTCACTCTGTTTTTCAGTCGACGAAACACGTGTTAAATTAAATATAGACGAAGATGATGAAATTAGTTCGGATTACATCAACGCGTCGTACATAAAGGTTTAAAAAATATAACTATCATTATGTACTAATAAATATTTTTAGGGCTATTCTGGTAAATTGGAATACATTGCCACTCAAGGGCCCCTTGAATCAACAACCCGCGACTTTTGGAAAATGGTTCTACAGGAAAACGTTTCAATAATCGTGATGGTCTCACAATTCGTCGAACAAAGTAAAGTCAGTGTGTTTCTCGATTAAAAATTTTAAATAATCGAAAAAATTCTAGGAAAAATGTTACCATTATTTTCCCAGTAATCATGAAAGTGTCACATTCGGGGAATCACTAGAAGTCAGATGTTGTACAGAATTGCATTTCGGTACTTACTGTATACGAACTTTACAAGTTCGAAGAGGCACAGAGCAGCGACATGTGATACATATGCAATTTTTGGAATGGCCAGATTTTGGCGTTCCGTTAGGGACAGATAATATGCTAGAATTTTGTAGACAATTGAGGGAAAAAGCAAGAAGTGAAGGAGGTGTAATTGTTGTGCACTGCAGGTAATTATGAAAGTTTTATTTTGTAAAAAATTGTATAAAAATACTAGAGGAACTCTCTGATTAAAATAAGTTTTGGCAATAAGTTATCGGCGGGAATTAATTCTAACTTAAGTAAAACAAATTAAAAATAATACTATATGTTCACAGCGCTGGCGTTGGTAGGACAGGGACGTTGATAGCTTTAGACATACTTCTTCAGACCATTGATGATCACAGAGACATTAATATCTATAAGACTGTTCTTGACCTAAGAAAACAAAGAGCAAATATGGTACAAACAGAAGTAAGTAATTTTTGTTTGAAAAAACAAAATCCTCTACATTTTTTTTAGAAACAATACGTGTTTATCCATACTTGTGTTAATGATTATTTGGAAACACCCATGACTCAATCAACCGGTAACAAAAACATTTTATTTAATTCAACTTTAATTCTCATATCCAATTCCAGATTCGTCAAAAGAACGGATATATGAAAACATGGACATAATAAAATATTCATTAAAGAAAAATCTAATTGAGACTGAGGTCGAAAGTGCCTTATAACTAAATTTAGTTCAATTGTATTGTACTTAATTGTTTTATTGGAAAGCTGTGATCTATAAATAAATAAGTTTTGTATACCTGATTTTTCCTCACTCCTGTTTCATCATGGCATGGTGTGTTGGATGCATCCAGGGTGTCATATTGACATTCGGGGGTGGCATTGTATGTGGGGGTGGCATTCTGTGGTTGAGCATCATTGGCATGTTGTGGTGTGATATGTGCATGCTTGGCATCATGTGATTATCATGTTGAGGCATCTGAATCACTATATGGTTGTTTATTGGGGGCTGTTGTGGAGGTAGGTTATTGTGAGAAACTGGATTAATTGGTTCACTTGGTTGGCAGTACTGTTGAGGTGGCTTGACAACTTTTTTGGCCTTGTTACTACCTAAATTTTCCTTCTTTGGGTCTCTCTTAACAGGTGGTGTTTTTTCAACTAGGACAGACTTGTTCCCGTTTTTCTCATAACAGAAACCCATATCAAACAGTAGTCTTCGTAGTGTCATCAACGAAAAGTTTGGTAATTGGGGGTCACCGTTTACTTGTTTCAAAATCGTGTTTAACGATGGCACGATATTTTTGTATTTAAGTTCGTAAACTATATTTCTTATGGCTTGTCGTACAGTACTGTCGTATTTAATGTCTCTACTATTTATATTGATGTTTCTCCTAATTTTCGTAGTTGATGGCACTTTGAAACCTTCAGCACTTGCCTCTTCTTTGCGAAATTGAAAAATGCTTTTTTCACTACACCCTGTGGCTTTTGAAGTCCGTCGGACGATCTCAGTTACACACTTATCGGGGAATTGAATTCGGAAATATTTGAACACGTTTAAAATGATTGTTTTTTCTTTGCAGGAATAAGACATTCCTTGTTTCATTTTCTTGATCTCGAGTTGGGCCATTTTTGACATAACCTCTTACTCTCACTTATTCAGAAGAACAATAAATTAAAACCTATTAATTAAAAAGCAATAAATAGGCTGTCTTCAGTAAACACAGCTCGAGTTTTACACATTTTGGATTAGTTTGTTGACACTAAACAAACCGATCGACATGTGTCAACTTTTTCAGTTTTTTTATGATTTCAATTTTTGAAAGCCCAACAACCCGAAAACGATTGCGCCCGAATTTGACTGATGTATAATTGGTTGCATAACGTACTTACATCTTGAGTTATTTTTCTCAAATAGCTCTTATAACAGTTTGTAGGACTACCTAACAAACTATTAAAATTTGATTTTATTTCTGCATTAAAGGTAATTAATTCAACTCTCCGTGAGCGTACATTCTAGAAAATTAACATTTGACTTTTTTAAATATAACGCAACCGAAATTTTCTGACATGTTTTTTGGACCGAAAAAAAGTTTTAATACTTCTAATCAGATGCCTTCAACAACATTATTAAAATGTAATAAAACTAATAATGTGCTAAAATTTTATTTTTTCGATTGCAAACTGGGCGATTCACTGCCCCGCGTTTCACGTACAATGGTATAATTCGCAAAACAACAACGTTTAACACCCTCATCTCTAGACCTACTCTTAAATTCACAACAACAAGTACAAAAACATTCTTTCACAGACGCAACAGCTTGATCTTTTTCACCCTGTAGTCTCTTCTCATCGTCACTATCTGGAACTTCCATAACTGCCCTGCTTGTATTCCCCCCAACTGAACTCTTTGACTTTTGCAAATTATTTGCCCTTGACTGAAATTCCCTGGTACTGATGAGTACTTTAAGACTGGCAGAGGGTGATTGGGACGGTGATGATGTCGGTGTGGTGTGATCATGGACAAATTGTTGTCTAGGAAAAGGAAAAAATATTAGGGTTGGAAAAGGGAATTAAAGAGAGGGATATTTGGAACTTTCACTATCTCTAGTTCTACGAAATCGCTCATTTGCAATTTCGCGTCTCAATTGTTTGTTTTGTTGAGCGTACTCTAAGGCTTTTTCTTGAAACATATCTAACTGTTCGGAAGTTGTAACACTAGACAAAAAATTAAAAAAATTGGTACAATTAAATAAGATGTTACTTACAATTTTTCCTTCAGTTCTTGCACTTGCATTTTCAAATTTTGCACTTCTTCCTGAAGATCCCGGTTCAGTATTCTCAATTCGGTCGTTTCGTGCTTCGCATCGTGTAAATCTCTTTCAACAGATTCCACATTATGTCTGTCTCGCGTGACTGTATGTTGTAAAAATTCACGTTCGTTTCTTAACTGATCAACATTTCGATCTATTTGCATTCTTTGATCGTCTCTATCCCGCAATTGTCTCTTCAGTCGTGCATTTTCTGATTCCAATTTCAACGAGAAGTCCCTCATGTTTTGCAACTCTTCGTCGGCTTTGTCAAATTGGTTCATACACTGTCTGAGTTGAATCTCCAAACTTGCAATTTGACTTGTCAAATCAGCAATTTGTTTCTCATAACTTTGTATGATGGAATCTTTATTGTCCAATTTACGTTCCAAATCAGCAGCATGATCTAACGCGACCGAGAGTTGTACTCTACTTTGAGTGGCTTCGGTTTCTAAAGTGTGATTGTTAGTTTCTAAAATATTAGCTTCATGACTGAGTGACCTAAACTGATCCAACAACTCGTTCCTTTCAATTTCCTTAAAAACGAACAATCAAATCGACGTATTAAACTAATCAAATATTTACTTTATTAGAGATAAGATCTTCCGTTCTTTTAACTTCAGCAACGTAATGTTGAAGTTGGGTTTTCAAATCATCGACTTGTCTTTTGTACAATTCTAATTCCTTCCGTGCATCTCTGCAGTCACAAGTGACCGAACCTAAATCGTCTTGAAGTCTGCGGTTCTCTTGAATCGCACTGTCTTTAATTTTTCTCATGGTGTCAAGTTCTTGTTTCAGTGTCGCCAATTCGGTTTCTAAACTGTGAATTTCATGCTTTTGATTCGCATTCTCGTCGTTGGATGAGCTGAAAAATTGTGTGAAAATGAAATCTCGGTATGTGCAGGTCGAAGGTGATCGCAAAAACTTATAGACTTTCACTGATCGGAAGTTTTAATAAACAAAAAACGTCATGAGAACTTAATTTAATTGCATAATTGCGCGTTTCTAAATTAGGAAAGAATTTCGGCAAAAACTAGCAATAGTAAGGCGCACAATATCAAATTAGGCGTCTATTCACTTGAGTTTCTAGACCGAGGAGAGTTTCACGTTGTCTTAGGATTTTCCAATTGTCAATAGTTATTAACATTACAAAACGAGCCGACCCAAGGTTTATGTGTTAAACTGAAACGTGTCCGAATTATTAAAAAAACTTAATTATAAATTCAAGAAGAGACAATTTTTACGCAATGGACTAATACTATGTAGTGGAATTTTAAGTAGAAGTAAAAAAGCTGAGCGGAGCAAGTTTTATGACTCTTGTTACGAAACGAAATTCCCGAAGTCGAATGCACTTTGTTAATTGAGAATACAAACATGCCTAAAACTCAATTTATGTGTGAATGTTTCAGCACAGAGTTTGTTTTACATCATCTAAATAATACCTGTATAATTAGCACCGATCTCCGTAGAAGAAATTCTTGTCGTTATCTAATTATCTATTATTCAACTTGATTGTGGCAATGACAATAACATTTGCACACTTGTTAACAATCAAAAATAATGTTCCTAATGATGATTTAACACGAAACTTCTAGCTACATTGTCTAAAATTTCAACAATAACGCGAAAGTTTAAACATCTGTTTGTATTAATCGATAGTTTTATTAAATTAGGTAAATTTATTGGCGAATTAAATGAAAGTCGTAACTGGGTGCTTTCAATGAATAAATCACGAAATTGTACACGTGGGCATAAGTCGAATTTTTACGGAAAAAAACACTTTCCAAAATATTTCACCTTGTCACTTGAACTTTGCATCAAAATTTAGTAATTATAGTGGCGAAGGTCGATAGAGTAGCGAAGCAAATATCTATGATAAACAGATGAATCTAATTATGCAAAATGCATAAAACGGAAGAAAAAAGTAAACGGTTTTTGTGGATTTTAAGAGGAAGAAAAGTCGCACTTTCTGTTAATTAATTAATTTGATACTCACAGTTGGATATTTTTTTATATACAGGGACATTTTTTAACTATGAGCTATGTTCAAGCCCTATGTTATATCTTCATTTTTAACCGTGAAGTATTTAATATTCTATCTCCCTGTAATTTTTTTGTTTGTCTTCATTTAAGTAAACCAAATTTTTATTTTGCTGCTCTTAAATATTGTAGACAAACTACTTAGACTATCATTAATTGAGAGTAATAGATTGATCTGTGTTTTTTAAACTGAACATAGGGCTATGTTCAGAGTTAAAAAAATGTCCCTGTATAAAACACCCCAAACCATCTTTTTAAAATTCAGCATCTATTCAATAAACTGTGTTACCTTGTTTCACGAAATGTTTCATATCAAGATTTTTCCCAAAAATATAAAAAAAGCAATCACTTTTAAATAAAAATATTTGGCAAGTCAAAATCATAGTTTTTTCTTAAAGCATTAGAAATATGAAATATGATCTATTATCCTGTCTAATTTCATTAAATTATTAATAAAAGCTATTAACCTTCATTAACGATCGCGCGCCCTTTCTCCAAATCACCTTATCTAAATTTAATCTAAAATTATAATAAAAAAAATGTATTTGAACAATAACAATTCTCCTTGAGCAATATGGCTTGAAACCGTATGGAAAAATGCAGATTAGAACCAATTACAATAGATGCAACGCAAGAAATGTTGCCTTAAAATAGATGTATTTTGCTTATTTAGTAGTCAAGAAACAAAAGCATTGGCTAATAATTCACTCGGTTAAAATCCTCATTTATATATTTAGCACACACTTTTGCTTAATCGTATCTTGCAACAATGCCCCAATACGGCTTTGTTATTTTAAATAATGGAGACCAAAGATTGCAACGATTTCTTAACTTGATGACACATTTCATACCGAGAAAAAATAGTTTTTGGATGATTTTTTTTAGTTTCGCCCTCAACGGTTACGTAAAAACCGCAAATCGATTAGATAAGACCTTCTGATTACCGATAAATCGGTTTCACTTTCGTTGGTTGTTCTTGTTGCAGCGAAAGAGACCTCGATGACCCGGTCAAGTGAAAGCAAAAAGCGTTCGGTTGAACTTTACCAAGCGCCAGTGACATTGAAAATCTTCAAGTCAAGCAACTGGATATTACACCCTCATGGGGGAGACATGAGGTGGGGCTGCGGCCTTGCGAAATCTTGATGGGAGATCGCGCTCTTCGAGACCAACAATGGATCAGTTCTTCATGGGCAATGGTCGCGGCGGATGCTCCGACCAGAATGGGTGAGGAGGTGTGTGAACGTTAACGACCAAAATGGCATATCATATCGCAGTAAGTTAATTAATTGTTAATTAAAACGAAAAAATTAACGGCAGAGTAATAACAATAATTTTATTCAAATACAAGTTTTCTTCATTAAAATTAATTAAATTTTATTATTTATTTAAGTGGAAATGCGCACTTCCCTTGACTTTCCATAACTCAAGCGAGGAATTTCCAAAACCGCAACTCTGTATTCGAAAATTAAATTAAATTACAATAAAAGAAATTTCGTGATGATTAATTTCCGAATGAAAATACCGTGGGTTTGAACGCCTCTGCCCCTTGATAAGCCCATTGTCTAGTGAAAGTTTCACTTTTATTCGCTCAATTTTTTTCTTCACCACCATTGTCTATATGAGATTCAATAAAATTATCCATTTATATAACGATTTTGGTTCCGACTCGAGCACACTCCTTTACACATGAATTGTTACACAAGAGATATACACATAATTAACGCGTTATATAAGTGAAAAAACGCCGCTTTGTGTCATGGGAAAATCATTTTCTTAACTTATTTCTTGCAGACGTTGATACTTTTGGGATTAAATGCAGCACTGGGGGCTGTTTTGCCGCCCCCATGGGCAAATCCCAAACTGAATCCTTGTGCGACCCAACCCGGTGGATGGCAATTACTGTATTGGCCCCCTGATGGCAAGTGCTACAAGATATTTAAGGTAGGTGAGAAGTGACCTTCCGCAAATGTCGAGAAATTAAATCGGAGATAAAGGTTACGGACGAAAGAATGTACAATTATGTAATGATAGCATCACGACCTTCGTGTGCGTGGGTCTAGAACTATGAGAACTTTGGTAATAAACTAGATTGTTTTCTTATCAGAAATGCCGTGGTTCGAATAGTCATTGCTCAATTGAAATGATTTATTATTGATTGCTGAATTGCGATTGTTAATAACTGGAACATTGCCGCCCTAATTCAATAGTTGAGGCAAGGAATTGACTTTCTCCTGTTTTAATTACCCTAAGACGTATTTGATTTGACAAATCGAGCCTTTTATTTATCGTAAAATTCAAAAATTAAAATAATAATTGTCTTATTATGAACTTACAAAAAACGTCTTCCGTACTATATTTGCATATTTCGTGGCTGAGGCGAATTCAAAAAACAATTAAAAAATCAAAAAAGTGAGTCGTTTGGATTTAAAATAAGTAGAACAAATACATTTCATCTTATAAAATATTCTTTAAAAATAGTCGTAAAGCTCTTAACAGGTTAATTTAACGCGATTTGTAGTTTTAATCAGAAAATGAAATAAAACTTATACAGGTGCGCCAGAACTCGCGCCCCAGAAGAAAAATTGCCATGTAAGGTAAAAAGATACCAGGAACATGAAAAAAAAAATTAAAAAAGTATCTGTAAAAATTTCGAAGTTATGAAAGTTTAAATTTTGCACTTTGACTCTATTTATTTCTGTTGGAAAAATTGAACAAAAACACGATAAGCCCGTCACACCAAACTTTTATTAAAATGTAAATAAAAGTTTGGTGTGACGGGCTTATCGTGTTTTTGTTCATCGTTTCCATACCAAGAAGATCCAAGAAGAATAAGTTGGAAAAATAATTTTCCAAGTTTTTTTGCTGCAGGCTATCCTAAGAGTAAATAATTATAAAAAAACATATGCAAAATCATCAGTATCATTAAATAGATATAAAAAATGTAAAATGTCAAAAAATAAATGTTTAAATTTTTTGACAGATAGATTTTTTTCTCTGGGGCGCAAGTTCTGACACCCTGTATAGAGAGGTCAATCTTTTTAATTTCTTTTTTTTTAATTAAAGTACTTGCAATTGTTTTTTGACAACTTTTGAGTTAGAATTTGCACGATGACATATCATTTAAAAAAATAAAAACTCTACAATTTTATTATTAATAGTAAATTTCAAAGGTTATTTTTTTTTAATTCAAATTTGTAACTTCCAATTAATAAATCAGAAGTGCCGGAAGCATAAATAGCTACCTTTTCATAAACCGTTTCTCTTGTTCAAAATTTACAAAAATGTATTTGGAATTTCGAGTATGTATGTACCAATTGGTTTTAAAAATAAAACTTTCACATTTCAAAACAAGATTTTTGAGTTTGAAAGTTGCAATTAGAACAAAAATGGTATCTTCTTCTTTCATCAAATTCGTTATAAATATGTGAATTTTAAAGTGAATTGAAAATAAACTTTTGTTTTTGTTTGCGTGCAGGTCGGATAAATTAATAACTAAACTAATACATGTATTTTATAGTTTCAGTTTTTTTTTTTTATTTTTAAAGAAAACATCGTTTTGCCACTGTTACTTATTATTTTATTAGACTTCAAAATAATATTTTAATTTTTATCCCCTTAGATAACATTTTTTCAGTTTTAATTAAATCTTTTTTTTATGTCACATTTTTTAATTTAATTTTTCTGTTTTAAAATTTGTTATTTATTTATATTTTAGACTGGATACCCATGCTCCGAAGACATGGAGCTAAGTCCTTCTCCCACAAAATCCGGCGAACAAAAATTTTCCGCAGAATGTCGCTGCCCTCCAATGAAAGCCCAATCTGCACGTGATGGTAAATGTTACGACTTGTATTCGAGAGGACCGTGCGAAAAAGGTTTCTACTTTGCACCAGACACCAAATACAACGACGACAAGTAAGCAAAAAATTCCGTAATCCGATACCGTAATCAATTTTTTATAATTCTGTCTTTGAGCGAGGAGAATTTCTTTTAAATAATTCAATTACAAAAAAATTGTTTATTTTTACCACATCTGTTTTAATAAAAAACCGCGACTTTTTTCCAGCTCTAAACGCCTTTGGGGCGTCTGCACCCAAACGCACTCCTGTCCCGGCCCCAACGAGATCTTCTGGCCTCGCGACGGCCGCTGCTACCACAAACTGACCAAAGGCCCTTGTCCTAAAGGCCAACTTCTCACCACCGACCCCGACCGAATCCCCCAATGCCGTTGCAACAAACACCGCGAACTCCGCGACTACCGCTACTCCGACAACCAGTGCTACCAACATTTCACTCGTGGCCCATGTCGCGAAAAGGGCCATCTTTTCCTCCCCGACCGCACCTGCGGCTGCCACAGCTTCCTCCCCCACTTCCATGACAACACTCATCTGTGTTACGAAATCGGAACTATCGGCCCTTGCAACTCCGGTGAAAACTACCAACTGCATCCGGAAACCCGGCGCGGGACTTGTCAGTGCAAGAGCGGATATGTCCGATATGCGAACACCTCGTCGTGTTACCGGCCCTTCACACAAGGGCCGTGCGCGCTTGGGGAGTTTCTTATAAATTCGACGACGTGTATTGCTCAACCGTGCCCTAGAGGACACTTGTATTTCCTCTCGCAGGATAAGTGTTACAGGATAGGGACGCGAGGGCCATGTCGGAAGGGCCGAATCGTGACGTTTGATTTCGATACAAGGCCTTCTTTAGATGGAATTTCGTATAACGGAGTGTGTAGTTGTGAAAAAGATGTTTATGATAACAATTGTGACGAAGAAGAAATCACTGAATGTAATAAAAGTGATGGTATGGTGTGGTACCGGAAACGCTGCTATAAACTCTACACGCAAGGGCCGTGTCCTAAAGGTGCGTGGATGGCGCCCAAAAGGTACAAAAAACAGGAATTATGGGACAGTGCGGGAGGGAATGAAGGGATTTGTGAGTGCGTCCCCGGGTATACTAGGACGATAAGGACGTTGAGGAATGTAACCGAAATGGCGTGTATGCCACCGACTGTGATTTTAGCCGATTATTTAAATCGGAATTTTTCAGTAGCGCAGATTGTAACTTTGTAATTTATACGATTTTTACTTTTGTAATAAAAACTAAAACTTACCCTAGCTTCCTCTTCATTTCATTCACAGCCGATTCGAGTGAAGTAATTGTTTTTTCGCGGGATTTTAGCTCGTGTTCCATCATTGCAAGTTTTTCAGTTTTGTCATCTAGGGCCACCTAAATAATCAAATTACAAAACATTTTTTTCTCAACTCTCACAACAATAATTTGTAAAACAAAAAACTGAACTTAAGACCGCTCATTTTTTTCTAAATTTTCATAAAAATTAAACTTACGAGCAATTCATCTTTCTCTTGGTCTATTTGTGCCAACTGAGTTTTCATTATCTGAATATCATTTTTCAACAAATCCACCTCTTTGCTGACTGTTCCTCTATCTTGTTCCCTCCTTTTCAAATGTTCTAAGGCACTGGCGAGTTCCGTTTCCGTTTGAACTAATTTGCTTTGAGTGTCTGATAATGAGCGATCAGTTTGTTCGTGTAAAGTCCTAAATAAAGAAAATTATACAAAAGTTCAAATTTTAATAAAAAAAATACTTTAATTGATTGTACAACGCCCTCTGTTGATTAAGTTCGTTTTGTGCGGTTCGTAATTGATTCTTTAGAGTTTCGCATTGTTCTTCAAGAGTATCAATTGTTGATCTTCTTGTTCCATGATTTTGAATCAACTCTCGACGTTCTTGTTCCAATCTATGAATTTGTTCTTCAGAATCCAAAAGACGTTTTTTCAGTCTTTCCACTTCGTTAATTTGACCTTCTGATACATTTTTCAATTTGGATCTAAAGATATCTCTTTCTTCTTCAAGTCTTTCAAGATCGGAACGCAAAAGATCGCGCTCACGTTCAGTGCGTTTACAAGTAGCCTAAAATTTTTATTTTATGATTAATATTAATTAATAAAAAAATTACTCACTTTGAGACAAGGACCGTCGGTGCTTGTGTCAGGTAGATCTCTCACACTTTCTAGTTTTGAAATCAAATCAAACTTTTCTTTTGATAACATTCTGTTCTTATGTTCTAAGAGAGCTAAAGCCTGTTCTTGTTCCGACAGTTTTTGAACAAGCTCAGAATTCTACAATCAAATTCTTATCATCTTCAACCACAGAAACAAGTTGTATACCTTATCAATTCTACCACTACTACCTGGTCTACTGGGCACATTTTTCATTTGCTCTAATATTTTGTGGTACTCCCTCATGTAATAATCTTTCTCTGACTTTAAATTATCAATACAGCGAGCAGCCTGTAAAATCTGTATTAAAAAAATAGCAAACAATTTAAAACAATTACTTGTTGTTCCTTATATTCCAATTCCTTGTCTAACAGTTCTTTGATATGTTTTGATGAAGAACAAGAATCGCAATGACAATTGCAACACCTACCGGTCCCAGGAGACCCATCTTTGGGTGTATTTGTGGGTACCTGAAGTGATGGTCGAACGGGAGAACCACTTTTTGATGGTTTTTTAGGAGGTTTTTTCTTAGGTTTGGGTTTAGCCCGACTTGGGGACACGTCAGATAAGATACGAGGGCCATCCTGAATTAATTCAAATAAATTTATAGTAATCAAATAATTTAACTAGAACCTCAGTGCGTGTTTTTGGGTCCACTAACGATTCCAATTCAGCGATTCTTTTCTTTTGTTCAGCTGAAAAGCGATTTAACCTGTCAATTTCCATATTCAAGTCGTGCTCTGTAATTAATAAAATTAAAAAACAATATAAAAAAACTCAAATAACAACCAATTATCGTGAAATTGTTAATTTTATCCGTCAGTCGTTTTTTTTCCTCCAAGGACGTTTCTAAAACGGTTTGTAAATGTTTTTTCTCTCCTGTTATAGCATCCAACTTTTCATTTAATTCTTTTTTGTTTTGTTTAAGTTGATTGTTTTCTCTTTCTAAAGTTTGAATTTGAATAAGACTTTCTTGCATCCTGTCCTGTAAACTTTAAACAAATGTTTAGAAAAGGTTGTGACAAAAAATTAAAAGTACCGATTAACTTTCTCTGCGTTGTTTTTAACGGTATTGTTACATTCTGCTTCGACTGCTAATGCTAAATGATCAATGTCTTTCATTTCTTTTTCCAACAATTTGTTCCTTTCTGCTAAATGTAAACAACGTTTCATTGCTTCGTGTTGTTTAGCAAGAGCGTCTACAACCACAAAAATTGCATTTTTTAAATTAAAACATTTTTTTTTACCTTTTAGACGATTTTCTAGAATGTGTTTTTCCTGTAAAACTTTGTTCAGTTGATCTTGTATATTACCACCCCCATGCAATTCCTTATTAGCACAAGTGCAATTACAAGAACAATCTTTTTGTATTGCTTGAATTGGCCTTCCACCTTCCAAGAGACCATTTAATCGCTTTATTTCTTTATCTCTATTATTTAGCTGTGATTGTAGAACCTCATTAGCTTCAATTAATTGCAAATTATGTTCCTTCAACTTCTTTATATCTTTACTTAAATTAGCAATTTTTTGGTCTGCTAAAGCCATGGCGCTATTTAGCTCAAAATTTTTTGCTTTTCTAGTCGACTTCTGTCCAATTAACGCAGTAGTTGAGGCACTTTTCAACCCAGGTTTGGATTTTTGTTTCGGATTTAAAAGAATTTCCCCACAATTTACAATTTCCACTTCCAACTGTTTTATTTTACTTTTTAACTTTTCCCGTTCAGTAGTACAATCAATATTGTCTTGTTTTAACAATTCCAAACGCCTTTTTAAATCTGAAATTAGTCCGTAATTTACGAATTCAAAGCAAGAACCTTTACCCCTTTGAATTTTTTCATTTTCTTCCCTTTCACGTAAAAACTGTTGATGCAATTCGTTGCATTCTTTCACTAATCTCGCATTATCGCATTTATACGGTTCTGCACCTAACTGAAGATTGTCTCTTTCCTTACAAACACAAAAATTCAGTTATGCCAAAAATAAATTGTCAGATTTGTGACAATACCTCGATTGCATTTTGAGCTATTTTCATGTACTTTTGTAGACTTTGGGTGGTTGTTTTTAAATCACCGACCAGTTTTTCAATTAGAGGGACGGACTCGTGAGAAAATGTTAGGTAATAACCCAACTCGTCTAGTTCTCCTCTTAGTTTTTTGGCTTTCATTTCCATCTTAGCAAAATAATAAAAACACAAAACTACATAATTAAAATAATACTTATAAATAGATATTGTTCGAGATTTACAACTTTAAAATTTTTACATAACCTAAAAAAACATTATACATCAACAAACACAAAAAAGACGTTTAAAATTTTAAAAGTGTTGCCACACGCAAAACGTCAAAGTTACTAAAAAAATTAAATAATGGAGGAAAGATATCAAATCGTAATAATGATTAAATAATTCCAATAATTGGACTCGTGAAGTATGACTAATGATGGGTTTGACTTTGATAACAATTATATTTCAACAACATTTATCGCTACTATTTTTATATCATGCCACAACTCACATTACACCAAAAAATACATTAAATAATTGCCCAAAACCAATAAAAAGCTTTAATAACTCAAACTAGCTACTTAAAAAATGCGGTTTTTCGGTTCGGGCCTAAAGCACATGAATTTTGTATAAAAATATTCTTTCCGATTTTAGAACCCAAAATTTCATATTACGAAATTTTGGTCTAGTTTGGATTATTAAAGCTTATTTACGAGTCATGCTCCAATAATAGCAAGTGCTTCGCCTCGCTCTTCTTCTAGTTCTTTTCCAGTAATGTCTAACATCTTTCTGCCAAAATCATCAATTTGCAAATTCTTCACAATTTCCCATTTCTTGTTTTTAATAGTGACAGGGAATGAAAAAACGACGTCTTTGGGAGTACCATAACTCCCATCACTGATCACACCCATGGAGACAAACTGCCCAGATGAGGTCCCATGGAACCAATCTTTCATATGATCCCCTGCAGCCTTGGCAGCTGACATTGCGGAAGACATTTTCCTGGCATTGATTACGGCAGCCCCTCTTTTTTGCACAGTTTCTACAAAAGTCGACCTCAACCAAGCGTCATCCCCGACAGCCTCTCTGACCGACACAGTTTTCCCAGAGTCCATCTTGACTTGCCCATGGGACCCATCAGGAAATTGGGTGGAAGAGTGATTTCCCCAGATAACGATATTACTAACATTAGCGACTGGGACATTGACTCGGCCCGCAATCTGGGCTTGAGCCCTGTTTTGGTCCAGTCTGGTCATAGCTGTAAAATTCTCCTTTGGGATAGAGGGGGCAAATCTGGAGCAGATCAAAGCATTGGTGTTTGCAGGGTTTCCAACAACTAAAACTTTGACATTTTTATCAGCGTATTGATCTAGGGCTTCTCCTTGAACTTTGAAAATTTTCACATTGGCTGAGAGCAAGTCTTTGCGCTCCATTCCTTGCTTGCGAGGCATGGCCCCCACGAGGAAAGCTGCAACAACGCCTTTGAAAGCCTCAGCTGGGTCAGCGGTAGGGACTACACCCCGTAAAAGGGGCAAAGCGCAGTCCGCCAGTTCCATCACCACGCCTTCCAGGACACCCATCATGGGTGGGATGTCGAGTAAATGGAGGATAAGGGGCTGATTGGGGCCGAAAACGTCGCCTTTTGCGATCATGTAAAGAAGGGAGTAGGCGATTTGACCGGCGGCTCCTGTGACCACGACACGAATTGGCTCAGACTGGAATTAATTAATTTAAATTAATTATCATAAAATGATTGTGTTCAGGATAGGGAAAAAGGATCAAACTACTTACCATTTTTAAGGGTGAAATGAATAATGATTCTCAAAATATTTGTCCTTTGAGACCTTGGCGATGTCTGCTCCTATTTATCACTATTTTCTGAATGATAAATATGACGTCCTTTGACCCCTCTCACTGTTGTTCACTTTTACTGTGCTAACCACATGAGAGTGGAGTGTCAATTGGGGAGCGGTGATTGGTGCATTTTAGCGTGATGTTTGAATGGCCCAATCAAAATTGAATATTTAAATTGTTTATTTATAAAAAAAATGTTAGAAAGTTCTTTTTACTGATTATTCAATGTTTTATATTATTGTTTTAATATGATAGCAAATGTATGTGTAAGCGACACGAGTAAAAGACGTTTCTACTTAGGTACCAAAATATTATTCATTTTATGGTTTCAAGGCTAACAAAAATTCTATAAAATCATTAACTTTTGTCCAGAAACTAAGAAACTATTACACTATTAAACTTTAAATTAAAAGTATTAAATTTTCAGCAAATTTTAGGACAAAATTTTAAAATTTGTCAACAAAAATTGCTATTCACCTAAAAAAATTAAAGTTTACAAGTAGTAGGTATCAGTTATCTAATTGATAGAAATGAACCGTATCACAACCTACCTGTTGGACTAAATTAATTTTATGTAACCATATTTTGAGTATGAATTTTTATCTTATCTCACTAAAAACAAATTATTTTGTTCTAATTTAAGACAATTCTGAAAAAAGAATAGCTTTTCTAAATTACCCCTAATTGAGATAACGGTAATTGAATCAATGTTCAAGTATTTTTTGATGTTAAATTGTTGAGAATTGTAGGTGTCATAGCTATAATATTATATCTTTCATTTATATCTTGAAAATATTATAATAATTATAAAACATAACTTACCAAATATTTGTTTTTTGCATCAGTTTTTTTAATTAGGATTTTCTTTAAAAATGAAGAGATCTAGGAAAAAACGAGTAATATTTAGTAAATGATGTTTTATAATATTTTCAAGATACCTACTCAACATGTATAGCAATTTGGTACATATGATTGTAGTATTTTTGTGTATGTAAGTAAATAAACATTGTAAACATGAACTTTTGTATTATTTTTGCATTTCAAACTAGTTATTTTTTCGAAAATTTCTTTAAAGAATAAAACCGGTCAAAAACCCGCCACGATTTAAATTTGACATTTCTTAGCGCAGACAGAAAGATTTCCTGTTGGCGACAAAAAATAAAAAGGTCACGTATTTTCTTCAAAGGTAAGCTGTCAATTTGTTTTTTTTTACAATTAGTGATAATTTTTTGTTGAAAAATTGAGGCAAATAAGATTTAAAATTCTCTAGTGTTATTTGTCAAAAAGTTCTAAATTTTTCGTGAAGCAACGCAAATATGACAGAAAATTATTATTGGTAATATGAGTTTTTACTATATTTTTGTTATTATCGCATAAGATAAATGTATCAACTCTAGTTTTGACCTTTCCCAACTTTTTCTTACGTTATAATAACCCCAAAGCACTAAAATCTGTTGAGTTTATATTACATAACCTCAAAATTATTCATGCTTTTCACGGTGTGTTTACTTGCAGTCTTGATAATTTCTTCAAGAAAATGACGGATTTGGAATCACCGAAGAAAAACAATGATTGCTATTTCTATTATTACTCGACGTGTGCAAAGGTAAGATTTACGAATTTAATTTAAGTGCCATATGTGAGATTTGGGGTTTGTTAGGGTGACAACTGCACATTTCGTCATGAACCATCTGCTTTAGGCTGTGAAACAATGTGTTCCTTCTGGAAGGAAGGCAAATGCTTAAATGTCCATTGCAATTTCAGACACATGGAATTGAGAGTAAGACTATTTAAACTATTTAAAAATTTGTACAAATATTTATTTTCGTGCAGAAAAACCGTAAAGCGATACCTTGTTATTGGGAGTCGCAGCCTGGAGGCTGTCTAAAGCCTCACTGTCCCTTTCTGCACCAAAGCCCAAAACCTGCAACTGTTGATGAATCTCATGAAAGTAAAACAGATTCTGGCACAGGTAATGAGTCCAAAACAGTAACTGGGAGATTTAATTAGTGATTTTAGAATCTGCGGATAATTCAGTGAATGAAAAACTTAGCCATTTGAGTGAAAAGGGTTTCAAGAACCCCCCTGTTGACTCCCTGGTTGTTAATTTTGAAGAAGGTATGCAGCTAGTAAAATAATTTTTTAAGATTCGAGTAGCATTATTTTTTCGGAATGTGTCGTTGCGTTTTTATTCTAGAATGTTTGTTTTATGTTCCTATTAATAATAATCTCCATGAACTTTTCTTTAAAAATTTGAAGAACTGGATGCTGTTTGCGTCAAATTACCAGTATTTTTCGAATTGTCTTCTTATTTTTAATGGAATTGTTCCTAATACAACTCACAAGGGTTTGAGTTCGAGGTGCATTCTTGTATAGCTCGGTTTTTTCTATGGGAAGAGGGAGGTCTATATATTATACAACTATGTAGTATTTATTATTAGAATTATTGTATGTAATCACAAATATGTTATTGTACATATAGCAAAATTCAGAGTTGCATGATGACAAATATTTTGCCATATGCACAAAATCTGACTGTACTGTAAAACAGAAAAATGTTACTTTTGTTACATGGGTCAGAATTTAGTTATATTTTTTATATACATACACATTTTACGATTGTTATATAAAAATTGTTTTATGGTTGTCTTGAAAAGAATTTTTTTTGGTACTTATTTGCTAGGATGTTTCAGTTAATTGTACATTATAAGAAAGAAATTAAAGTTGTTTTGTACCAAAAAACTTGTTTTTATTTCTGCAAGAATGCATCCCGACTATTTACTTTTACACCATTTTTTTAAGTGATGTATTCTTGCAGAATCTGACAATGAATCAGCACCAACAAATTCACCAATTAAATCCAACCATCGCGCTGTAAAAGTTAAAACATTGGAAGAAATTAAATTGGAAAAAATTCAAGCCGAATCTGCTGCATACTACTCATATCCAGGTACCTCCCAAATTTTGCAAAATATTTATTTAGACTACATTTTTTTTATTTTATTTCAGAAGACGATGGTGAGGACTTGCGTCAGAGAATATGGGAAAGATTTTCGTCGAAAAATGCAGGACGAAAAACCGATCTATTTGGGATAAAGAGACAGCATGAAACAAACATCACAGGACCGCTTTCAAAGAAACCGAAGAAAACGGAAACAGACGTCAGCGAAATCAAAATTAAAACTTTGGAAGAAATTCGTGCTGAACGAGCCAAGAAAGCCAGTCAAACTTTAGATGCAATAAATACTGCCATTTGTGATAGTTGTGTTAGTAGTAGTACTGAAGATACTCAGAATGGAACGAAGAAAGCGAAAATTAAGCTGCAACGGGAACCACCGTATATTCAAGAGAAGAAGGAAGAAAAACAGACAAATGAAACCAAAGTAGAAGTTGATAAAGCTAGTGATAGTGACGTTGACATGAACCAGAGTAATAATAATAAGACGGCTGACGAAATTTTGCTCTTACAAGATGACGATGATAATTGTAATGTTAGTTTAAAGGAGGAAGAGAGGCTTTTAAATGATTTGGACGAATTTTTGGAAGACTGAGTTATGGGTAGGGGATACCTGTGTCATTATTGTGTTAAGCATTAATTTTTAATTAAACAAGAATCAATTTTGTTTTTCATATTTACATTATCATCAGCGTTGTACAAAATATATTTTAAGAGTTTTTCAAATATAAATATTTAGATAATTATGCTGCTTTTCGCTATCCCTTTGCCTTAATTTAAAAGTAAGTTAAATTTGTGAGAGTCATTAATATATACCATTTTTTAAATATTAGGGCCTATTCTGTAAATACTTATTAAAAAATAAAGGTACCTTTAAATTTAAATATATAAACCCCCAAATTTAAATAAGCTATTCTGTATGCATAAAATTAAATGCTCATTTAAAAATATATCTTTTAAACGGACCCTTTARAATATTCGGCTTTCATCGTATTAAATAGAGGAAATGTTATTATTTTGTTATAAATGAACTAATTTTGCTGGTTTTAAATGATGAGCCGACTACGAAAAAATGTCAAGCCAGTTTTATTTGTCATTTTCCGTAAAAAAACGTTCAAAATGCTTAAAGTAAGATTGGCACAAATGACGAAAGCGCAGAAAAAGGTGCACATAAGGTATGCACATTTTAGATCAAACTCATTCTAATGAATCCAAAATAAGAAAATTCAGAAAAAACAAAAAAAAAAGAATTGTTGAGACTCAGTTTGCAGGCATAGCAAGAAATCGAAAACGAAAAATGTTTGGAATCCTTGGCCAGTAATATTCTTTGCTACAATAATATGGTTGACCTGGATATAAAGGATGTTCTTCTGGGGGAAAAATAATTTTAATATGTGCACAGTCAATAATTACAATCGCAACAATTCCTATCTTGATCAACTTCATTAACAGGAAATTTTATCCAAATATTAATTAATCCTCGAATAATTGCATTGGTCACCTCATTAATATTCCTACTTAAATTAGGCTAGCTCTGTGACATCGAGTAACTATGTCCTATTCAAGTAAGGTAACTACCATGCCCAAAAAAGTACAATGCACTTAAAACTCTAAGGTATTCTAGTATTTCGTGCTCTTTGCATAACCGGCATTGACTAAATCTTAAGAACAAAATTTATTTAGACGAAATAAAAGCATCATTCAAAGTACATAAATGGATTTGTGGTATCCCGAAATTGACGCTGATAAATTCTGTTTTCTACTCTGTTTCTTCTAATGTCTTCTTCATAAGCAATAATTAAATAAAGAAATCCATCAAACGCCATTGTTTATAATGCACGATGTTTAACACTCCTACCACTGATTTGCATTTTTCTACACTGACGACTGACGTTTGTTTCCTTTATTATATTAAATGCTACCCACAAAGTACCTTTTAAAAATTAAGCATATAAAGGTGAAAAATAAAGGGGGTATTTAAAATTTTAACAGGGAAGATACATACAAAATAGCATCGAAATATGTTTACAGAATAGACCCTAATGTCTCTAGTCATAAATTCTATTTTATTACACTTTATCAAATCTTTCAAAATTTATAAGATTCTTGTCGTCGACGGACTTGAAAAGCTAATAACAAGTGTGCCAATTATTCCGACGCTAAAAATCACAAGCGCCAATCTTAAACCTAACAAATTGGCAACGATTATAAAGTTATAAAAACAATAATTCACACAAAAATTGATGTGTATTAACATTGTTGGTGAATTATAGCAAGTCATACACAAGATAACGTAGACTTATACAGACATTATCGCGTAATTTGAATCTGATTGGTTGAATTTCAGAAATTTGAAAGATTTGATTGGGTTAAATTCCGTGACGTCACGTTAGAAAAAATGTGTATTTGTACGACTAAAGATCCCTTTGTTGGGTAAACAAGTGTAAAACACGGAAAAAATGATGACGTAGAATTTGGTAATACAGGGTGTTTCACATAACTTTACGAGGCTTGCGCCTAATGTACGCACCCAAACTAACAACTAAAAACGTTGTAATTTTTGAAAGGGTTAACAAACTACGAGTAGAGAAGTTTATCCATTTTTCCAAAATTTGTAATCGAGTTCGTATCGGAATATGTATGCATCTTACAGGCGTAGGTCTCGTAAAATTATGTGAAACACCCTGTATTCGAACAAAGGCCTTTTACACCGGAACTGTTACGAAATAGTTTTTGTGACGTTTTCCAGAAAATTACGAGTATTACAATAACGAGTCAGTCTTAGCTGAGCTCTCGTACGAATCACTTGTCCGAATAAATTATAACTTATTATTTGGTGGTTTTGTGCGAAATCGTGTTGAAATGGGGGGATGTACACACAGTACGTGTGTGTTGTGTTGTTTCGAATATTTAATAGACATTTAGTAGTGCGCGATTTTAAAATTTCGAGTGATTAGTGAGTGCCAATGGGGGAAATGGAGAAGACAATCGTGCTACAAGGATCCGGATTAAAGGGTAAGTCAACAATAC